TTTTTTTTTTTTTTTTTTTTTTTTTTTTTTTTTTTTTTTTTTTTTTTTTTTTTTGAATTTAAGCGTGTTTTGTTTGAAATAATCTTATATTAGTTGACTTACCGAACATTTTTCTAGAAAATATGTGAGTGAGATTTAAAGAACCCGTGTTATTTTATGAAATATATGGAAATATCGAGATCATCAAATATTGTATTGGACTTTAAAATTCTCGTTTGATTATCAAAGTTTGTGGCGTTATATTAATTTCATTATTTACCTAAAAAGTCTATAATTGCATCAATTATGCTTTGTTTTTCTCCCTCTCTTTCTATGTATAAAAAAAAAGTTAAATTTGACAATTTTTGTTTTTTTTTTTAATATTTTCTATGTCTTTTTGCAATGGGATTTGATGGTGTCACACCAACTTTATAATAATAATAATAATAAAATAAAAATGGAATTAATTTTGGTCCTCTCCTATAGACTTATGTTGCATAGTGGGGCACATAAAGTATAATTAAAAAATAAAAATAATAATAAAAAAAAAAGAAAAAAGACAAAGGAAATTAGACCCAAAAGAAAAAAAAAATTGGATTACGAAAGGCTTTTCCTTGGAGACCGTTCAAAATTATTAAAGTAATTTTCACGTGACTGTTACACTTTTATTTTTTCAATTCACGTGAGATCTCATATATTATACAGTCAAAAATAATTAAAAAAAAAATTACATAAATGGGTGAAAATTTTGAAAATAGACAAATATTACAGCTGGCAGAGTTTAATTAATTTTATTTTTTTTAAAAAAAAATTCTATTTTACATGTACTTTCATAAAATGGGTAAATGTGTGTGTATATATATATATATATATATATATATATATTTAAATAAATATTTTAGAAGAAAAGAAAGAAGGAATCTAAATAAAAAGAGAATTTAGAAAATAAAAAGTGGGGGAAGAAATAAATAGAGGCATAAATTTGTGGCACAAAATGGAAAGCTGTGGGGTAACACAGAGAGAGCACAAACAAGAATGGTGGTTGTGCCTTTTATATTATATTATATTATATTATTTATTTATTTATTTACAAAAAAAGCCCTTCATCATTCTACAAATTGTCCTTTTTTTAATTTTTATAAATATTTTTAAGGGAAGTGTAATTTTGAAAGGTGGAGAAAAATGCGAAATTAATTAATTAATGGGCCATAAAGCAAAATAAGAAATATTTAAAAGAGGTAAATGAAATAAATCATTCCCCTTTTTTTTTTATTTATTTTTTTAATATTATTTATTGACATGTGAATCCAATAAAAGGTAATTTTGGAAGGTTGACAAAATTGCATTTAATTCAAAAATTAAAAATTAAAAAAATAAGAAATAAAAAAGGGAAGAATATTATTATTTAGCATTTTTGGCCCAACCCTGTTTTTTTTACTTTTTAGCTGGACAATATTGTTTGGATGCAAGTCTATTGACCTGTAATTCCACTTCAACCACCAAAAATGACAACCGATTCCAACCACTCTTATCGTCACCACTGATATTCTAATGAACAATTTGTTTATGGTTTGGCCATATCTTAACCTCTTCTCGTGAAAACGTGAGACTCTATTGTTAAAGTCTTGAAATAAACACTCAAGGAAATTGGTCAGGTTGTCGTAATGGTATGCTTGTTGAATCAAGTTAACCGTGAAAATGAAAAGACAAGCCCTCACTGATTGAAGTTCATAACTTATTCGGGAGTATAATCGAGTTGTATATAATCTTCTCGATTGACATATTTATAAAAAGAAATTAAATATTTTACGATCAAATACTTACTATATGAATGATTTAGATAAAATCATTTGTAGCCATTACAAGTGTTGTCAAGATAAGACAGTCCAACCCCATCGCTAGCAGATATTGTTTCTTTGGACCCACTACCGGCAAACATAATCATTTTTAGGCTTTCCCCGGCTTTCTCTCAAGGTTTTTAAAACGTGTTTTATAGGACGAGTTTCCACACCTCTTTGGGCTTTCTCTTTCGTGTTTACCCCCAAGGTTTTTAAAACATGAGATTTCTACACCCTTATAAAAAATACGTTGTTTTCCTTCCCAACCGATGTGGGATCTCACCAACCATTAATTTCTGATATCACATTTCTCATTTTTGTCCCTTGTTATTTATACGTTTGAGTTAGCTTAAGTAGAACTCGATTAGACTTATAGGTGAGGTGATCAAACCAAGCCAAACCGACAGTTCAAGGCGATTGACGGAATCAAATCGGACCAACGACTTTATGGCAAAATAATAATTTAAAAAAAACATAAAATAGAATGTAAAATTTAAGATGAGCAAGTTCATTAAAGTTGGGACAAATTTAGGTGAGTGGGAGACATGAGAACCAATTTTTATGTCTAATCAAAGCAGATAAAGTAGGAAAGATCGTCTCTGATCTTACTTTTTGTTGTCTACCCTTTCAAAGCCTCTTTGAAATTCAAAGATTTTGATGAACAAATATCATGATTATTTATTACTTCATTTGAATCATGAACTTGATAACGCTACATTTGGGAAATGCTTAATGCTTCTTCTTTTTCCCCCTTGTTTTAAACAGAGAATTTCTTTGAAAATCTGGGCCAGGCTTGATGAACTGTAAGGAAAATCCAGTCCAAATCAAGAACCCATCATCTTAGCCCATGATGAACTCAACCAATTCCCATCATGGGCCTCATTGCAGTCCACACGGAAGATTCAAAAAGAGGAAAGTTCTAAAAAAGTTTCCCACCATAGCAGGGCATTGTGAAGGTCGATCGACTCTTACTGGTAAAAGGAAAAAGGTGCGTTAGGAAAGAAACGTAAAACATTTCTGATTTTTGAACTTTCTTTGCTTTGATGAGCCGCTGGAACTTCAACCCAGGTACATTTCTAAGTTCCCTTTCAATGGAGTTTTTTCTATATGGGTTTCTGGCCGAAATCGAGTTTTGAATCTGTAATTTTGTGTTTTATCATGTTTCATACTGCCATTTTGATCAAATTTGAAAGATTAAGTTCATTGTTATTTGTGACTGTTAGGTGTTTGTGTTAATGCCCAACTCAATAATTGCTTGTTTGTTCATGCTTTCGAGTATCTGTTCATAAAATATGTGATATCAATGATTAGAATCCATTGTTGAAAGATGATTAGAATCGATCTAGTTAATATTGGCAGTAATTTTTGGGACTCAGCTTGTTGAGCATCCTAGGCCCTGTGAATGGATTCAAGACAACCTTCAACTCTTTAAGTGCTGCATATTGTGAACACAAGGCCAAGTACGACGACGAGCTTCACGGTTCAATGTCGATATCCCGAAGGATTCTACTTAGGGGTGCTGATTCAAAGATTGTCTCAGAAAACTTGCCCTCCCCATCTTTTAAGTTCCAGAAAATCAAGTTCATAGGATTTTGTAAAGAGTGGATCAAAGACCCTTTGAACATTGCCCTTCTTTTCTGGACGATCGGCGTCACGGTTTCGGGATCGGTCGTCTTTCTTGTAATGACTGGAATGTTGAACAATCTCCTGCCAACTAAATCACAAAGAGAGATTTGGTTTGAAGTTAATAACCAAATCTTGACTGCTCTCTTCACTCTGATGTGTTTGTATCATCATCCTAAGAGGATTCATCATATGATACTTTTATGTAGATGGAAACCAGGTGATGTCCTTATTCTTAGAGAAATATATTGCAAAAATGGAACTTATAAGCCACATGAGAGGAAACACATGACGGTATTGCTTGTGTTGCTTCATATGAACTGCTTTGCCCAATATGCTTTATCTGTCCTTAATTTGAGCCATAAGAAGCCTCAAAGATCAGTTTTCGGAGTTTCGATCTGCCTTACTGTTGCACTCTTGACTGCTGCTGCTGCTAGTTTATACGCCATTTTCAGTCCACTTGGGAAGGAGTACGACCACGGCGACGATGAGGAAAGTCCAAACCGGATCAAGGATGGCGATTTGTTTGTGTCAAGAATTGTTGACAAGCCTCAATGGAGAGGTGGACTGTTCCATTTCCTTGATGACGTTAGAACAGCTTGCCTTTCCCTCTTCTGCAGCTTCTGCTTATTTGGATGGAACATGGAACGGTTAGGATTCGGGAACATGTACGTTCATGCTGCGACGTTCGTAATCTTTTGCACTGCCCCGCTTTGTTTGTTTGGTTTGGCAGCTAATATTGTGGAACCTTTGTATGCTAAAGTAGCTCTCAGTTTAATTGGCATTCTTGTTTCTGTGTTTGGGCTGTTCTATGGTGGATACTGGAGGATTCAAATGAGGAAACGGTTCGATATAACGAAGAACGAGTCGTGTTGGGGGAAACCAAATGCTGGAGACTGTGCACAATGGTTGTTCTGCTGCTGCTGCTCTCTTGCTCAGGAGGTTAGGACAGCTGATTACTATGAATTAATGGAAGACAACCTCGGAAAAAACCGAACGAACGGCAGAGACAAGATCGAAATCCTGTCGCCATTACCTCGTGAAGGTGGAACAGTTCATGAGGATAGATCAAACCTGGATTCAAACAGGTTTTTAGATGAAACTGATGGAGTAAACCAGCTTTTGAAGCCCCCTACTCCATCATCAATGCAAAGAGATGATTTTGCGCTGAAAATGACCAAAAATCTTGCAGGAGAACGGTCATTGAGTCTCTGAGGAATTTTATTATAAATTCTGTGATGTTTTCTTGTACTTTAGCCATGTTTGAATTGAACTAATACATAGTCTTGTGTGTATTATCATGTGAATTCATAGATATATATGTTCATTTTCGCTTGTTTATACGTTGCAAAAGACCATCAAAAGCATCTCCGTTCGTGCTATATACGAAAACGAGAATGCAAAGCACACGCATGACAAGATATTTCTGTAATGACCCATGTCCAAGATCCGGATCAAAATTCAGAATTTAGATTCAGCACTTGATAGTCTCGGTATTCTCTTACATCCCTTGCGACATGGCATACACATTCGTGCTATATACTAAAACGAGAAAGTAAAATACATGCATAACGTGATCTTTCTGTAACGATCGATGCCCAGAATTTAGATTCAGGACCTGATGGCCCTGATATTTTCATGCACTCCTGCAACATGATCATGTTACTTACTCATCGCTTTTAAGAGTGAATGTTATCCCCACAGACCAACACGGGTCCTTTTAAATAGTTTGGAGTTCATATGATTAAGCCATCGAAAATAAAGATGCACCTCATTAGTACAGATAGTAACTTTCATTTTATTCTCAAGATCGCTCTCATCCAAATATGGTCCCAGTTCATTCATTTACCCATCATTCGTTCGAGTGTCACAGTTCCACAATCCCGATATGAGTGTGATTTTGGGTACAAGAAAAGAAAATTAGAGGCATTGGACAGGGAAGCTTTCCATCTATTTCTGAAGGTTATGAACATTAGCCTTAATTACTTCACGTTGCAATCGTGGCAGACTGGAAAAGGAATCTAAGGCCAACCTCCCACACTTCCCACCAATGAAACGACACTACACAATTTTAAACTCATCGCCAGTAAATATTGTCCACTTTAGACCGTTATGTATCACTGTCAGCCTCACGGTTTTAAAACGTGTCTGTTAGGGAGAGATTTCCACACCTGTATAAAGAATGTTGCATTCTCCACTCCAATCAACGTGGTATCTCACAACCCACTCCAAAGTCCAATAGCGAATAATATCTGTAATGGGCGGTTATATTCTCTTCCATACGTCAATTTTTAATAGGATTTTGCTTAGATTAATTGGGTTTACGTTTGATTTTGAATGTGACGAGGAAATAACAAGAAAAAGACCTAGAGAGGTACGATGTGATGGAAACCAAAAAAAAAAAAAAAGTCTTAAAAGAAGAGAGCACTTGAATTGGAAATCTAATCATTAATCTAAAAGTTTAGGAGATCGATGTTTGGTCGAGGATCGAGTTGAAAGAATCTTTTGAAGATGTTTCGACAATCGGTTCGTCAAACATTAAAGTTTACGAAATTTAATATATCGACTTGATTTAGTTAATAAAATAGTTATATCAGAAGAACTATGCTCGAATTGGATGACATTACGTGACAGATAATTAAGTTTTAGAAACACACATTTCAGAGGCTTTTGACAAACTACAGAGCAAACATAATCACGGGCAGCGAGCGGTGAAACAGATCCCGAGGGTGGCTCTGCCACACCGTCAGCCCATCATGACGGACCTCCTCCCAAGCCGGCTGCCGGAGATCCGCCACAACAAGCCACGTATTGAAATACTCTCTAAACTGCGTAATCACCCCATCTTTCAACGTCCAAACATGAACCCAATAGACCTGAGCCCCTTCCCAGCCTTCCGCCACAATAACAGAGTCGCCAATCTCTGTTATGCTCCTCGGCTCGAACCGAAACTCGGCGTGGCTGGACTCGCCGGTCAGGACCCGCATCATGTACTGGCAATGAGGTGGGCCATGGAACCACCACTCGAGGTCGGTGGCCAGGAACTTCGCCACCGCGTCGGTCCGGCCGGCGGCGAGGGATTTATAGAGGGCATCGGCGGTTGCTCTGTTTTGATGCTCTGACTCAGTGGAGTGGGTGATTTCGGAATGTTTAAGGATATGGGTTGACGTGGAAGTGGAATCCATGTTTGTTTGAGCAAAAGGGTCGTGTTTTGGAATAGGGAATTTGAGCTGAAAGCTGTGGAATTGATTTGTGCATGGAAGGGTGTTATTTATAGCCGAGCATGTTCGCGATCGAAGATTCAAATTTCTAATTAAACATACCCATTTAAGGTGCGAAGAAGCTCGAGCGTAAGGGACCTACCTCAAATGTGGTGGGAAATCCCCGTTTAAACCAATAATGTAGAGGGAGCAGGAGAGATTTCTCTCTAAACAAGAACGAAGATCATATTTCCTCTTCTCACCTTCGAACCTAACTGATTCCATCCCGACCCACGTAAATAAAGATACTACCCTAATTCCACAAAAATAAATGAAGATTTTTACGGGATGTAGAATGAAATACAGTCGTCCCGTCTCCACTCTGTTTCATGAGTATCTCTATTTCTAACCTCAGATCTCAGACTATATATCTTAACCAGGTGAGATACGCTCAAACTAACAATACATGCCACATTTTCTATTTGCATAATAATATACGTAATTTTTTTTTATTAGGTTAACCGTGTTAGTTTAATTACATCCGGAGTTAACGTTGAGGGTAGAATTGGAACAATAGGTTAAAAGTTATTTATAAGATTTTAGGCTAAATTAAAATAACTCGAAAATTTAAGGATCGATAATGAAATTATTATTATTATTATTAATTTTTTTATGGGAAAACGTTGATAGCTGAACCTACAAAAATAAATGGGTACCACAAAGATACAAAATAAATGGAAAAGATTTTTTTAATTATTTATTTTTAAAAAATAAATCCCAATTATTTATTTATTTAATATTCTAATTTTTGAAAAGGCATTTTTTAATATTTTAATCTAAAGGTTCAATTGGGAAATGGAGAAAAGATGACGTGGACGATGAGTTGACTGTTTGACTGATCCTCCACGTCGTTTTTTTGGCCAACCGGCGGTAGGGACACGACGTCGTTTTCGGCTGCATGTACCATTCAAAAGCTACCAGTTGTCCTTGAGCAGATGCACAGTTCCTGGACTCTCCAAACAATTTTCCTTACCTAATTTAATAATTTAATTTAATTTAATTTAATTTTAAAATACCCGCACATGTATTTTCTTAAAAATAAATATATTATTTTTTAAATACAAGTTTATTAGAAATTTTTTAATTTTTTAATTTTAAATCCAAACTAATAAATATTAGGATAAAATATATTTTTAGTTATATATAAACTTAAAAAAAAAAAAAGACTTTTTAGTTCCTTAATTTTAGAAAATTTCTTTTTAAAACAATAATAATAATTTCGCCTTTTTAATTATACAAATTTTAATTATATATCAAATTCAAAATTCATTTATAATATAATTTAATAATAGTCTATATTTAAAATTGCATTAATATATTTTTAAAGCCTCAAATCATATTGATGTACTCTTTTTCACCCCATCTTGTACCTCTCTACTTCACATTAACTCTTTTTACTTTTTACCATTTAACCCTTTTTTTTTTCCTTTTTTTCCTAATTAGTGTTCATTTTTCTTTTCACCCCACCCATGGTAAATTTTTAAATATTTTCATTAAATTAAAATAAAATATTAAAAATTATGTATATACGTCAATAATATTAAAAATTATGTATATACGTAAATAATATAAGAGCAATGAGATACAAAATAACTTTCTATGGATAAATGGTGTAATTAATTTTACAAAAACAATAATTAATGTTATAAATAGAGATGTCTCCTCGACCTGGACTCGAGAAAGCTTTCTCCATCTTTTTTCTCATTTTTTATCCTTAGGAAATATCTCTATAATTTTGGGGAGATTGGGACGGAAATTTTCCAAAGAGAATACACAGGAATCGGGTTTCCCATGAAAATAAAAACAGGAGATGGGTGGGGCGGGGCAGGGAATTGAGCAGAGACAAGGACAAGTACGGGATGAGAAATACAATCCCTGTTTCCGTCCTCATTTATCTAACGGAGAGAAATTTCTCCCCTCTCCCTCTCCATTTCCCATTTAACACAGATTTTTTCACTAGCCCTAATACCGTAGGGTAAAATAATAACTCATTTGTAGAAATTTATGGGGCACGGAATTGGGCGGAGACAAAAACAAAGACGGGATGAGAAATACAATTTATGTCCCCGTCCTCGTTTATCTAAGTGGGAGAAATCTCTCTTCATTCTCTCTTCATTTTTCATTTAATACAGATTTTTTAATCTATTCGGGACGTGTCTTCATTGACCCTAATAGCGTAGGGTAAGTAGACCTCTATAGAAACGTTTCAACTCTTCTTTCTCTCACATAATAAATATGTTAAAGCACTATTAATGTTCTATAACTCTAGTTTAATAAATTGGGTTATTAATTTTATAAAAACAATTATTAATATTACCAAACTCTTTTTTCCCTCACACAAGAAATTAAGCTTTTAATAATATTAATAAAACATAAATTAGTGATCTTAGAAAGCCTTCCCAATTAATTGGATTATTAATTTTATATAGACTAATTAATATAACAAAACTCCTTCATATATATATATATATTAAAACTACTTGTTGATTGTTTATTTATGTATTATTATTTTAAAATTAGGAAAATATTTAGACCTCTAATATCTTAATTTAAGGTACGTGTCTAAATTAATTGAGTTATTCTCACGTTGGCATTTTTATATTATTAGTTGACTTGTTTATTTAGTTCATTAAATATTTGGTTAAAATATATGCAGTTGAGTTATGCTCAAATTGGCATGTTTATTATTTTGGTTGAAGATATGTGTCTAAAATGGTTAAATTATGCTTAGGTGGACATTTTTATCACTATGGTTGACTTTTTTTTTTTTTTTTAATTAAACAACATTTATGACAAAAAGATTTGAATATTTAATTCGACCTTGTATCTAAACCAATTAAATTATGTTGAGATTGACAAAATTATGTTACGGTGGTTATATAAACATGTATCACACATTTTAACAAAATAAAAAATAGATTAATTTAAAAAAAAAAAAAAAAGCAAGTCGTTTGAGCTAACGCATGTTGACATTTATCTTTTGTATTACGAAAACCCGAGCGTAGGTTGATTGAGGAGAAACTAACAAAAGGATAAAGGTATGATAAATAATGAAATAGTCGTTGTAGACAAATGGAAGGATC